TTCTCGGAGGGTTGATATCCGCATTTGGTACCGTCTGCCGGGGTTCTTTGGATAGCCCGGAAGAGCCTTTGAGTAGGTCCAGGAGAACTCGAAACTCTTATTGAGCGCAGGCCAGTACTTGTGACACTTATCCTATAAGTTAAGCAAAAAACAGGCTATACTTGACGAAACTGCATAAAAAGAGAGTTACATCTACTGGAAAGTCAGACCCAGATAGTGAAAAGCATTCCCTGGTGAATTTATTACTTCTACGATTAAAGTGAGCGTAAAAATGATCAAACGAAAATAAACTGAGGTCTTCGTGGGACCCACCCCCGATGTTGGCACTTTCACTGAATTGCATGACTCATAAAATCACCTCTTTGAGCGGGCATTGCTTTGGCAAGGTCAGCCAATCACAAGTTTGAGCCAATCAATCAACAACGTTTCCACTGCCGATAACGCGCACACCACGGTTTCATCACTAGCGTCCGACTCTGATTGGCTGGCACCGTGCACCGGTTGGCAGCCAAAACGCGTTGTTTAGTATGACCACATTTTAAAATTCTGCGCGACAAAATCGTTATTTGTGGGTGTTACCTACTTCTCATCAATGAGAGCACCGATCTTAGTTTTTTGCTGGTTAGGGCACACCTACACTCCCCCAGCCACGACATTTTTCATCGATTATCGACGAAGGCTGGAATTTTCAAACCTTTGGTATTTTTAACAGGCGGAGAGTATGCAAGTGCTAATGCTCGTGTCTAGCATAATTAGTAGAGATAGTTGAGATAAATGTTCCACTTCTGGATTTATCGAGTCCTGCTTGAAGACTGAGGTCCAGTTGCAGGTTACATAGACAATGACCTCTTCTTCGTGACATTTTCGTCCTTGTAGTGTAAATAACCACTGATTAACATTTAGAATTTGGTTTGAACCGTTAAACCTCCGAAGAATACACTCTTTTCGAGAGTTCGGTCTACTAGACACTCCAGGTGAGTTTCGTTACTAGGCCACGGAAAGTGCTAGTCATTAGTTCAGTTCCTTCACTTAAATTACTACGCCGTAACAGTCGGTAATCTGGCTTGTGAGAGCATTCTGCTAACTCCAAAAGGGAGAGCACCGACGACAGCCCCCGTAGTTGCATTTAACAGTCCTCGTGATAGGCGTTTTACTAAAAAAGTCCAATTACTGCATACGCCTACGCTCCTTTTAGCACGCATTTTAACATACAGTAGATTCCTTACCTCACGGAATGTCAACCGAAATTCCGAAATGTGTCAACCATTCGAAAAAATTACTGAAGTAGCGTTGTTATACGGATTACCATACAACTTAATCTTCAGATATGTCAGTTGCGTCGGAATGTCCGCTTTTGAACTAGCTGCTTTCTGACTGTCTGCGACAAGTGTACACTGCACAAAATGGCTACTAAAGTAGTATACATTAATTTACAAATCCCTCATAAATTTACATACATTTTATAAAAACCAGGACAAATATATTCCTTCCTGTACTAGCTTCGCAGCAAATCACGCCTCCTGCAAATTTTATACTGGAAGAAAGGGTACCTTTGGATTCAAAAAAGTTTCTAAATTACCGAATAACTTTAAATCCTGCCGGCTATTACACTTAAATTCAAGGTCTCCAAACTATACGCTGTCTACATTCTGTCCGGGAAAACATACACAGTTTCCCACGGCATGAGTAAGTAGTCACATAGTTCTCGTGGAATTTTGCAGCGAATGTGGATAGTGTTGTAAACTGTATTGGAAACATTAATAAATTAACGGATACAATGTATTCTGAATGAACATTTCACGGCAGCAAAAAAAGTCATAGTTATATTCAATTAAGATGACGGTTAAGGAATAATTTGGGGAAAGATCAGGATTTGGTATAAATGTAGACTTCGGATTAAGATTAGGACTACGGTTAAGATTTACGTTAGGCTTGGTGTTAGGGTTAGAACAGAGGGATATTTACTCATCCTGTAATTTAGCACAGGACCACTCATATTAACCGGGAAAATTAACATTCTCCTCATCTGTTCGAGGGACATATAAACAATTTTTAAGGCGGAATTTTCTACCAAATGAGCACAAGAAAGAATATTTTTGTGCATTTTTTCTACACAAAATGTAGTAGGACAATGAAAATCAATGATGAAAATGCATTCTATATAAGTAGTCATTTTTATGTGGTATAATTTTTGCAGGAAGTCAAAAATATGTTCGTTCGAAAGCCGGCAACCTCAGGTGACCAACATATTTTGAGCTTAGGCCGTACGATAAGCAACATTGCAACCCTACTCAAGTGATTTGCTCGAATCGAAAATACATTTCAGAACTTCGGTTGACGCTTTATGAGGTAGTGAATCAACTTCATGCTAGGCGGGGACGTCAATATTTCCCTATCCTGTCGGGGGAGGGGGCATGTAAAAATTTTGATCGATCTTAAAAATTCAATAGTGGCAAGCTGATAGGCACGTGCGCTTCGCGAACTCACCCTGCCATGCTCCGTGACGGAGGTCAGCATCACAATGACGCGCGTATTCTGCTCCCAACACATCTGCCAGAAATCGATACAGGTGTTGGGCAGGGGTCCCTGGGCGGCGATGTATTCATTAGCTTCATCGCTTTTGGGAAGGTCCATCTGAAAGCCGGTGCAGAAGGCGGAAATGGGTAGGAGCAATCAAGCTGTACTTGCAGTGACATGCGTGTACTTACAAAATAGCATTCACTTCTACAAGTATAGTTGGATGAGAAGGCTTTTTCAGCAGTAAAAAGGTTGGTACGGACAGGGTGTTTTGCGTGACCGGTCAGATGGGACAAAAACGAAATGACTGGTAGATGGAATTTGTCACTTAAGAGGCAACCTTGTACCATTGTGACTAACGGCGAAAGATGAGTTTCAGGAAGCCGTTGCAAAGAATGGGATGCAACCGATTAAGCAAACAGTTTATTCGCCTGATGCTTCGGATCAGCGCTAGGGTTCATTCTCTGAAACTACATCTTATAAGGATAGGCTTTGCGCAAAAAGTAGGACGTAGTTACCCTACCACCACGTAACCATACTTAGCAGCTCTCAAATGTATCACCAGTGGTCAGGATTGATGTGATGATCGCTTTCTAGTCTACATCGAAGTTATGAATCGTCGCGAGTTCACCACGGGTGATGATTACTGGCGTAAAACCTATTTAGAAATTTAGCCCATTAATCTTGTCACTGGATGTAGCGTTCGGTCGTGTACTCCCCGAGTAGTTAATCTCTGTGCTTAAATAACAGTCAAAGACTGAATCTCGATGGAAGAGTGTGGGTGTGTGAACCATAAACCAAGCATTTCTTCGCTTACTTTATCGTTACCTATCAGGAGAATGGCATCTCTATCGAACTTGAAGATATCATCGGATCCAGTCGAACAGGCTGCAACTTGACTGTTAAGCGGCATTTCTTTCTACTTCCGCTGCATGTTCGGCCATCCGCGCCCAAAACTACCTCTTAGTTTCGCTGACGTAACCTCCTCGCCCGCCAGATGCAATAGAAGACCCAGCGATTTACTGGCATGGCAGTGCATCGTTCGGACCTTTAATTTTTTCGCTGATGATGAGTCATAGTGCGCATCCGACACGTCAGGCGATGAAATACTGGTACAATCGTGTCGGCTTATATTATGCCTTTCTGATAAAAATTTTTTGCCAAAACTCCCGAAGTTGTTGTTCTTGAACCACTGCAAAGAAGTCGTTACTTAATGTGCCTACGATCACACAGGTCGAAGGTAACGAAACCAAGAAACCAGGTTATATGAACTTCAAATAGTCGTTCGGAAGGGGGTGGGAGGTCTTTTCATGCGATTGCCCATAGACAAATTCAGGGTCAATATTGTTATTCAAAGGGACACACGGAGGAGGGAGCTTGCTAAGCTTTCATGTAAATATGTTTATTTTGTTGCTCGCTTCACTGCTCATGCACTAGGACTAAAAACCAAACGGATGGCTCATATAAGTGGGATCAGCGAAACGCGGTAATACTCAATCCATCTGACGTGACTTACCTTCACGAAGCTGGCGTTGATGTAATCGCCACTGAAACCCTGAATCCGGACGCGAGTTTGGTCATCTGTTTTATGAGAAAAAGAAACATAGATTTGATATAACGAACCACAATCGTAATCTTCATGCTTAAAACATCCATGATCACAGTTGCAATTGTAAGAAGCTAATACACCTACGCTGCTACATTTAGCGGGGGAGTAATTCATGCGAGATAGCAGAGCATAAAGAGTGCGTTCTAAAAATATCCCGAGGCAGGCCTACTGAATGAGGGTCTTGAGAGGCCTTCTTTACAATAATGCAAAAAGATTATATGCGCGAGAATTACCGGAGGCTTTGGTGTAAGTGCTGGAACATGCTACAACGCTTCCCCACGCCGTAGGTGTCAACGTTCAGGGCGCCATCTATTCGTTTACCAGCCCCACTTGGTAATATGTTGAGATGAATTGCTGCATTTAGCAATCATTTACCCTCCCTCGCCGGGTGATGGTGCACAAACAACATTCCGAAAACACTTTGTGTGATACTTTAATCGTGCAATGAATTGGAATTGTTTGAAACTGCAAACGAAGCACAGCATTCATATACCGCTGCTATGTATCTCCTTAACCGGAAGGCAAAAGGCAACCTGTGTACCATATGGACGATCAACAGATGACAAAAAAGAACGGAGTGCACTAGGTCCAGCAGGCTTTCACTAGAAAGGGATACTTGTGGCAGATTACCCTAGTCAACTAAAAAAAGCAACAACAGAACCACCGAAATTCTAGCGGATGCTACTTTAAATTGGGAATGTGTCCGAAGTGGTTGCTCGTATGTTACAATTGCTGGTCATAAGACCGAGCCCATTTGTCAAAAACCGAAACGGGGAACGGTGCATGTCGCAGCGCACGTGAGAGATACCCATAACTGACTGCAGACTCACATGCTTGGGTAAACGTTAAGTTGTTGGCCCAACTTAGGTACGCATAGCCCCAGAATTCTGTCTAATGGGACCAGTGTGGTAAAAGGTCAGTTTACCTTGTAGTTTAGTAGTTTAGTTTTAGTTAGGTGTGCTTAGTTTAGCTTAGTTTAGGTAGTTTCGTTTATTATACGGTAGTTATTTAAGTATTTTTACCTTACGTTGGCGATATCTACTGAAACTAAAAATAAACTAAACCAAAACTAATAGAACTAAAAGTAACCAAATGACTTTTAACCAAGATTGAACAAACAGGAAACACTCAACTTTCTCTCGCGACGAAATACTCTACAGTCTTTGAACATGCCTTTGTTTTCCAGGACGACAGAATGGTGGGCTGTGTTAAACCTCAAACAACCAGAGGGACACGTTGGGCTTAGCACATCTGACCAACTCTCACCAACCGCAATGTTGCTCTTCCTGCAGCTGACCAAGCTCCTAGAGCGCAGCTTGATGAGCTGAACAGCGAGCAGAAAGGAAGACTGAATGCATCAGTAGATAAACCTAGACTGAGCATAAACGTAGGCGGACGTGAACGTGAAATTAAAACAGGAATGTGGGCGGAGAAGTTGAATACGCCAGATATCCTGTTAAGCAGACTACACAGGAAAGCTGATGACGGCGATCGCCGGCAGGATATGGGTGGAGGTGTCGACACTAGCGTAGTAACTAGAGGCCCGAAGGGGTGCAAACGGGCAACAAGGAGATGCGTGGGAGTGAAACAGCGAATGTAGACGACCGCGTTGACCGTTGACATTTAATTAACGCCCCCCTCCACCCCGCACGGGTGACAGCGGAAATATGTAGCGAAAGGGGAAAACAACCCCCGCATCAAAGAGCAATTTTAAAGGTTATAAAAAATGTGAGGATCCTAGGCACTCTTTATCTACTGCAAAAGACGCTACCTAATGCAATGTCAGTGTTTGCAGCAGCTCCTCTTCAAGTAGGAAATTTGAAGAAAGCGTAATTTTTTACCAAATGAGTACAAGAAAGAATATTTTTGTTAATTTTTTCTATAACATACATATTTGAATTCATGAGAGCAGAGAAAATCAATGGGAAAAAAAGCAGACTACTTAAGTTGCCATTTTTGCAGAATATTGGTCTTCCATAATATATGTGAATTTATTAGTGCAGTGAGAATCAATGAAAATAAAGCAAACTAAATAAGTAGTACGTTCTACAGAATAGGTTTCCAGCTGGTGGTCAAATGGAAGCTCATTCAAAAGCAGGCATCTTGAGTTAAGTGGAATAAATTGAGATTAAGTCGCATGCTAGTCAATTTTACAACCATACTTAATTAATATGTTCGATTGGAAAGCAAATTTCAGAACTTCGGCTGACAGAGACAAGGGAGACTAGGGTGGCCATTTCTGGCTTGTAAGCCGTCGTCAGGTAGTGGTACCCAACTCAATTGTTCCCCCGGAAATTTGTGATCCGCTCGAATTTCCAACCCACGACCTCGTTAATTAGAAGTTCAATGCTCTAAATACTGCGCCATGGGCTCGCTGTCTTGTCGGTTTTTGATTAGGAATATACAGTGAATGATAAGCGCACAATTTACCGTAAATACATATATCAAGCAAGAGTCCAACCATAACAATTCGGGCAACATTCCTACCTGACGTGTTTATATATCTCACTTCGTAAGGCATGAAATAGGTTTATGACGCACTGAGGAGCGACAATAACCGTGAATCCTCAAACTAAAGATTCAAAATCAATAAATTAACAGAATTGTGTGCTTTTATACATTCCGACGCGGGGTTCTATCATTAGGAAGAGTGACTTGGTGGATCTTATAATTCTCCTGCAGATTAAGAGCCAAAATTTTGAGCAGTTTGAAACCATGCAATTTATTGTTATTAGTTGATAACTGGAAAGGATCTTTGATGTGCTTGCATGGTACACCTTACCACGTTCCTTCAAAAAATCGAACATTTTACTCAAGCCTTCAATTGTTTCAATTAACGACAATACCTCGAGCTAATGTCGCCTTTCCCCTTCAGGCCAGGTTCGCAGCAACAGTTACAGATAACTGAATGACATCTGCTATCTTAGATACTCCTAGACCTTAGTCCTCTGGTTACTTTTGGTTTCATTATTTTCACTTTAATTTTAGTGTATGATAGTTTTTAGATTACTTTTCAGGTTATTAGTATAGTTTTGTTAGATACCGTCAAAGTAAGCTAAATATACTAAAGTAATCTATACTTTCAAGGAAAGGCATCCTTTGAGGAAATGAGTAAT